AGTCGATACAGACTATTGATGAAAATTTCACGATCTTACCAGCGCAGAACCTGAAAGAAGACAAATGGCCCCCAAAACTAACGTTCCTAACAACCAAGTACAAGACAAATGGATCAATCTGGTTACCTTAAGCTTTAGGTCCCCAATTCGGAGCTTTTGCATCTATATCCGATTTTAGGGTCACAATTAAACTTATATCCGCTTTGCAAAAAAGTTTGCAAGCGTACCCACTTTACGATCAACTTCAGACTTATCGGGTCTAAAGTTATAAAAAAATTAGTCTGAAGTGAAAAATTTGCACTTCAAATGCACTTAAGGCCAAATAGGTCTGAAGTGCAACCAATGGTTTCATGCACTTAAGGCTAATAAGTCTGAAGTGAAAAATTGCTTAAGGCCAATAAGTGAAAAATTGCACTTCAGATGCACTTAAGGCCAATAAGTCTGAAGTGAAAATTTGCACTTCAGATGCACTTAAGGCCAAAAGGTCTGAAGTGTAACAAACGTTTTCATTCACTTAAAGCCAATAAGTCTGAAGTGAAAAATTGCACTTCAGATGCACTTAAGGCCAATAAGTCTGAAGTGAAAATTTGCACTTCAGATGCACTTAAGGCCAAAAGGTCTGAAGTGTAACAAACGTTTTCATTCACTTAAAGCCAATAAGTCTGAAGTGAAAAATTGCACTTCAGATGCACTTAAGGCCAAAAGATCTGAAGTGCAACAAACGTTTTTATGCACTTAAGGCCAAATAGGCCTGAAGTGCAACAAACGTTTTCGTTCACTTAAGGCCAATAAGTCTGAAGTAAAAATTTGCACTTCAGATGCACTTAAGGCCAAAAAGTCTGAAGTGCAACAAACGTTTTGCTGCACTTAAGGCCAATAAGTCTGAAGTGAAAAATTGCACTTCAGATGCACTTAAGGCCAAAAGATCTGAAGTGCAATAAACGTTTTTATGCACTTAAGGCCAAATAGGCCTGAAGTGCAAATTGCCCAGAAATAGAAATTTGTTCTTCGAATTATAGCAATCCAATATAGGATTTAATATCTAAATCTACTCCAAATGAGCTCAAATTTGAAACATAACCTCCAAATATCATCAGGAACAAACCCCAATCATCAATTTGTCAAAACAACAATAAATCTAATGAACACATTTTGCAATTAAGAAAAAAAAAAAGAAACCTGAAGCAATAGTAAAAAATAAAGCATCATAATAGCTCACCATTGTAAAACATCATAAGCTACATTAAAATATGTTCACAACCACCATATAAAATCATTGTCACTCGAAGAAGAAGAAAAAAAAAAGAAAACAAAGGAGGAGAAAGATGCCTCAAGTTGTTTAAAGTGGGTACAATTTAAAAAAAAAAAAAAGTTAAAAAGGGTATATGTTAAATAGGGGTGATCAAATAGGGCGTCCGGTGCAATTTTTACCCCAATTCGGAGAGAGATTGCACATATGGCCCAAGCTTCTCCTAAATGGCCTAGTCGTTGATCGAAGGGATATTTACACAAGTACCCAGTTTACTTCATTGTTTAATTTTTATAGCTGATATATATAACTTATACACTGGCTATATACAATTATATACATATTATTTATGGATTACACAAATATTATGCATCCACCAATAACTTTTAATTTTTAAGTAGTTGGAAGGAGCGTTTATTTAGGTTAATTCTTCTTGATCGAATGGATTAAAATTCATAAATAGTCACGTTTCAACCTTGTAATAAAAACATAACCACTATCATGAAACTAAAGATTGCCTGGTTCAGGGTCTAGTTTTCTGTTGTTGTCTTTTGTTGAAAATAGATTTTATTTGCAATTAACATACGTCATTAAATATAAAAATTAAAAATTAAGTAAGAAGAGAAATAACTAGATCTTATTGGCTTTAAAAGGAAATTATAATTGAAAAGCTTAAATTAAAAATTACTCATATTGGTAGATTTACTATTGAGATATACAAACAACAAACCATTTGTTTCATGGAGTTAGAACTCCAACTCAAAGTAATTTTAAACTATAGTCAAAAGTTGAGAGATAAATTCGAATTTTTTTCTCGAAGAATTTAGACACGTGAACTTTACTCACTTTACGTTCAAAGCTCTGCTAATGAAAAAAAAATAATTTTGCTAACGGCAAGGGTATGAATAAATTAAAAGTATAACAAATAACAAAATTAAGCAATATCAGATAATATAAAAACGAATATTATTTTTTGCTAACGGCAAAGGTATGAATGGAATAAAAGTATAACGAATGACTATCAAATAATATAAGACAAATATGTTCCTTTTCCCTCCATTGTTATTCTCATACTTTCTTTCCTCGCAAATATATCTATGTTAAAGTATATCTTAGTGATCAGGCAGGATATGGCGAGACTTCAGATTTCCGAGGACATGACACTTGATAGAAATTTGTGGAGGTCGAGTATTACAGTTGTAGGCTAGGAGCTAGTTGAGTCTTGCGTTACTTTGTTCCATTGTGAGCCTAGTCTGGTAAGGTTTTAATCGAAAATTACTAGGGGCATTATCGTGTCTTAATATTTCCTCTTTTCGGTGCTAAATCTATTTACTAGCCATCATTTCTGCCTTGTATTTTTCTTATGCATTTTAGGTTCCTATTTTTCTTATGATCTCTATGGTGAAACTAATATTCTCCCCTTTTGTTTTTCTTGTTTTTCTTATTATCTTGAGCCGAGGGTCTTTCGGAAATAGTCTCTCTACCCCTTTGGGGTAGGGGTAAGGTCNTAGTCTCTCTACCCCTTTGGGTAGGGGTAAGGTCTGCGTACATACTATCCTCCCCAGACCCCACTTTTGGGATTTTCCTGGGTTGTTGTTGTTGTAAAGTATATCTTAGTGTTAACTTGATCCTAATTCTATCTAAATGTACTAACCATTGGTTCACGGATATGTTGTATAGCAGACTGAGAATGAATCTCTCTGCTTTTATGTTAGTACTATACAATACATAATTTAAGTGGTCCACTCTCCAGATGAGTAACCACTGGCTGTGACATCGACTCCACATACTAATTGGTTGGGGTTGGGATCTTAAAAACATGTCTTGAATCTTGACCCTATTCAATTCAAGTGCTCCAACTGTCCACATTACATTCCTAGTTCTGCTAACTAACTTTTACTTCCTAGGACTTATTGTTCTTTTTACTAGTAGTAGCTTTTTTGGTTAACTATCATGTGATATTCCAATTCACTATTCCAAACTAATTGGAATTCATGTTAATAGAGTAGGAACTTTATGAATTCTGAATTTTAGAGTGACAATTTCAAGTATTAATAATTGATTTTGTGTGTGTATATATATACACACATACATATTTAAGAATTTTTTAACACAAATATATTGTTTAAGTAAAAATTATTCGGTTCAGTCGAATCCGTATTCGGATTTCTACCTTTGCCCCTACGTACTTAGTAGACCCACCGAGGGGAGTAGAGCAAGTCTATCAAGAAATTCTTCATTCTAAAGGCTCAAATCCGAGAATACTCATAAATTAAGTTTATCGAATTAACCATCTCACTACACCCCTAGGCAGTTTTACTAAGGGGTCATTTGGTAGGAGCTATTAGAAAAAACAATGTAAGTATTAGCTTTGTGCATTACTAATCCCTTGTTTGGTATATTTTTTTTTATTTGGTATTATCCTATTGTATAACTAATATATAGCAAACCATTGTATTAGCAATGCAAGGGTTTTTAATACTTGCATAAACATGATTAAAGACATAATTGCCGCTCAAATCCTTCAAAACTCAAATACCGTCCATAACAGATGACATGAAAGAAATATGGTGAAGATGCATTCTTCTTCAGCACATCACTTATAAGAAAATGTTAAATCGTACTCCCTCCGTTCACTTTTACTTGACATGTATACTAAAAATATATTTTCATTTTTAATTGTTACGCTTATCAAGAGAAATAATTTTTTTTCATGTTATACCCACAATATTTATTACTCATTTCAAATCATTTTCTCAAATCTATTAAAATATGCATCAATTAATATGGGTATCATGGTAAATTATGCACTTCATTTATTATTTCTTAAGGGGCGTAAATAGTCAAAATATGCCAAATAAAAGTGAACGAAGGAAGTAATTGATAAAGATAACATTAATTAAAATTATTTTATTCAATTATTTAGAGAATCAATTTTTTTGATGGCCTACTATTGACTTCTATATACGAATCTTCTTCCATAACAGCAGATCATTTGCTTTCCTTGTGCAAGTAATTCATATTTTGGAGGGTGATACAACTGTTAGCAAGAAAAATAGTGCACAACTTAAAGAATTTGGATGGTATTTTTGTAAATAAATAATTTTTTAAAAAATTATACAATATTTTAATACATCAAACCAAATAGTAAGTACGAAATAATCTCAACATAATTAATTACATCATTACTAATATCAACATTCTTCGTCCACCCTATGCATCACTATTTTTATACCTCCAACCAAACTACCCCAAAGAGGTCGTTTGGTAGAGTGTGTTAGAGAAAATAATATATGCATTAGCTTTGTGTATTAGTAATATTTTGTTTGGTACACTTTTTCAATGTATGTATAACTAATACAAGCATTAGTTATAAACTCTATTTGGTATTATCCTATATATAGCTAATGCATAGAAAATCATGGCATTAACTATATAAAGGCTATTAATGCATGCATTAACATGGTTAAAGATAAAATTATCCTTAAAGTTCTTTAAGTTAAAGAATATGGAGGGCATTTTTTGTAAACAATTAAATTTCTTAAAAATTATGCAATGCATTTTAATTTTTAATACACCATACCAAACAATGCATAAGAAATAATCTCTGTGTAACTAATACTTGTATTACTAATGCATTTTATTTAGCATTATTCTTATACGCCCCCGCAAAACCACACCTAATAGTATTCGCTAACCGATTTTACCGTTGGCCCCGGCCATAATAATTTCCACAGCTCTTTCTCATTTACTTTTCTTTGTCTTTCTAAAATTACTCCATCCTCATTTACACCAATTTCAGTACCTCTCTCTCTCTCTCTCCTTTGCCGGAGAAATATCCCACTACATTCTGGGACCTCATATTTCTTTTTCATTATCCCCATAGCGTGCACATGAGCACAAATAAGAGTGAGTGTGACTAAGGAATCTGACAACTCAGCTACCATTTTTCCTTTGTAAAATCAACACTACTTTTTTCCTCCTTTCTTCTTCCTATTTGACCTCCCTGTTTTCCATTTTCAGTTACTCAAAAAGCTACAACAGAAAGCTACCAAAAGAAGTAAAAACAAGAAACAAAATGGTGATGAAGTTGTTCCTTTTGTTGCTTCTTTTTGTCCTTCTATCAACTATACAACAAGCACAAGGACTCAATCCTATTGATTTCTCTGCTTTACGTGATATTAAAAACAGCCTTACCGACATAAATCCTTCTTCTCCAAATGCATTTTTCACTAGCTGGAATTTCACTGTTTCAGACCCATGTTCCACTTTTGCTGGAATTTCTTGCTCTACCAATTCCTTCTTTCCTAGACGGGTCACTTCTCTTACTCTTGGCTCTGGCCTTTCTGATTCCCCCGGCTTAGCCGGTACGTTATCTCCTTCTATTGCTAATCTCTCCGAGTTAACTCAGCTTATTCTTTGCGCCGGCATTGTCACCGGACCTATTCCTTCTCAAATCGGAACCCTAAAAAACCTCAGTGTCGTTTCTCTCACTAACAATCGCCTAACTGGCTCCATTCCGACTTCCATTTTCACGCTCCCGAATCTTCATACTCTAGATTTGAGTCACAATCAACTCACTGGAACAATCCCGGGTTCGATATCCGGGTTAACTGAGCTGAAGGTATTGATTATCGGGTCCAACAAACTCAACGGCGAGATTCCTCGGTTATTGCCGGCGGAATTACTCCATTTGGATTTGAGTAACAACCAGTTCTCGGGAATGTTGAAAAAAAGTATGCCGTTAACGCTCCGTTATCTGTCGGTATCAGGAAATCGGTTGTGGGGACCACTCAATGTACTCGAATCACTCTCAGAGTTAGTGTACCTCGACTTAAGCATGAACCATTTCAGTGGGCCCATCCCTTCATCTCTTTTCCGTTCCACCTTGTCATCAATGTTCCTCCAACGGAACTATTTGACTGGAGGGGTCCCACAACCACCCCTATCACCGTCAACCGCCGTCGTCTACGGCTCTGGATCCACCGTGGATCTGAGTCATAACTTGTTAACCGGGAAACTCACTGGTATTCTCGCCGGAGTAGAAACTCTGTTCCTTAACAACAACCGGTTCACCGGAGAAGTTCCAAAAGAGTACGTGGAGAGTGTTTTCAATGGAAATACAAAAACTCTGTATTTGCAACATAATTATATTTCTGGATTTCCGGTGGAATCGGGATTATTATTGCCGGATTCAGTAGCATTGTGTTTGTCGTACAATTGCATGGTGCCGCCGCTGCCGGTGGAGTTCATGGCGTGTCCTGCTAGCGCCGGCGAAGAGGTTTCAAGACCGGCAAATCAGTGTTCCGCTTTTAATACTTCCATGGCATAAGTTAAAAATTTGAGTTTCGTCCATTTGTGATTTAGAAGATAAATATTCAATTGTTGTCAGCATATAGCACATGATACATATTATAGGAGTACGTTATACATATTTTGATTGGTTCAGTTTTACTGTTTTTGTTTTTGGCTTCTGTTCAAATTAGTCTCTTATTTTAGGCTATAGTTACTAGTTTGAACAATTGTAATCTTCTTGACTTGAGCAAATTTTGACTTTGTTTATGTAGTATTAGACTGCGAAGGAGAGGTTTGAAATAATGGTAAAATTATTTTCGGGTGATTTATAAGCTATGAATTCGAGCCGTAAAAATATTAACTAATATTTGCATCAAAGTAGTAGGTAGGCGAGGTTTTATGCCTAGACTCTCACTTATGCAGTAGTAGTAAAAGTTTTACACAATGATCCACCAACTTTGTGAAATTTGATAAGACTTTCTTTATCAATTTTAGCATATAAATAAGAACTCGTGATTTTTAAACTTTTAATCACTGTGAGAACTAGTGATATTTTTGGCCTATTTAACAAGAACAGACAACTTCACGTTAAGTTTAAAACTTTTTTAATCCTTTTGGGCGGCAAAAACTAGAGCATAATGTTACTTTAATAGTCTTTTTTTAGTCATTGTGGGATCCGAGTTGGTCAAACAATTGGCTTACTTTTGCATTTTAAAAGAATAGGTTGTTATATGGACGTGGCGGAGGTAGAATCTCCACGAAGGGGTTAAAAAAAAAATTATAGTTGGTGGGAATTGAACCTATGATCTTATGAAAATTTTGAACCTCCTTGACCACTAAACTACACTTTTAATTTGTGTCAAGGAGGTTCAAAACTTAATATACAGAGGTAAAAACCAGATTTTACCTTATATATACAGTGTAATTTTTCGGCGCCCCTCTAAATCCGCCCCTGATCCTCGATAGCTTGAATGAGTACCGCTCGTACTACCATCTGACCATTGACTCGTCTATGGCATTGGTCTGAAACGAGACAAAGAGTGACTCTACTACCACCCTGTTACAAGACCTACCTTATATCGACCCATAAAATTAATAAAGTACAAGATTTGACAAGTCAAATTACTTGTAGGTTGTTTAGTCCTCACTCTTATGTACAAGTTAGACCGGGCACCACAATACAAAGCTCTTTTAACACAACTACTATTTTATTGTTATAAAAGAATAATAAAGAGGGAGTAAAGCAAAGGAAATAATGTAGCATCATCATTTATAGAAGCACGGAGAGTTCGTGTAGGGGCAATTTTTCCAAAAGCGTGGATCCAGTCAAAAAGGAACATTAAGTTATGATAATGGTATACTTGCAGTTTTGCAGTGTTGTATTATTTCAGAGGGACCAAACTTGGAATACACCACTCGTGAATACCCATATTATTCATGCATCAACTCTCAAAGCTTTTGCCAACAGTAATTTCCATGTCCTCTTGCACCCAATATATATTTTTTTTTAGTAATTGTTTTTTATAACCGAAAAGTTCCTGAGTATGACCCGCAAAACGAAACTCAATGAATATTAAGCATCCTTCTACCATTCTCTGCTTAAATACTAAGCTTACACAGCTTTTGTAAGGCTAGTAGAAAATTTCTGTGTATTACATCGTACGAGTCAACATGAGATATCATGAAGATATTAGGAACCAAGAGTGAGTCGATCATCAAAAATGGGTTTCTGCAAAACAAATAGCATTAGTACAAACAAATGATAAAGCCTTAATAGGTATTCTCGGTCTCTCAGGCTCACCACGAACAAACCAAGCATCAACATGTCAAGAAAAACTGATTTTCAAGAGAGCTAATCAAGAGGATGCAAAACATTTCCTAGGAAGAGTCTGGCTATTTCTTTACATGTTACAACATTCAGAGCTCAAAAGCTGCTTTGTCATAAACCTATGTGTACACGTAGAATGTGCTAATCCTTGTTGCTGCTTTGGCGACTAACAAGCAACTCAACATTTATTTCGGAGTACTAGGCAAGAAAACGCACAAAACTGCGGAGATCTCTTGACAGGTAAAAGTAAAGATCCCGGAACAATCAGCTTCCCCGAAGGCCTATAACTCTAAATTTTTCCTGGTATTTTACCAAATAAAATGTTGCAGATAACTGCTCTATCTCTATTGAGTCCTTATAAAATTGCTTGAACCAAAGTGAATCTTTTCAACCTTTCAGTGACCTGACCTGGAGACCAGGCACATAGCATGAGAAGCACCAATGGCTACTGAAAGCACGTTATGGCTCCCAAGTCCATCATCCTCCATGAGAAACTTGACTTCAATAGGAGATAACTGTTTCTCTGGCAGTCCGGGAAGCCCCAGTTGACAATCTTGTGCATTGCCCCACATGTACAGCTTCCCGCCATCTATCACCAATAAAATTAATCATTAGTCACCAACATTACATCCTTTGTACAATAAGCTAAATATGCAAGAAAAATGAACATCGCTCATTGACCAACAGGTCTCTAAAGCAGGGATGGGAAGTGGTAACAATTGGATAAGAGCAAGTGTGACATGTTTACCAGTTATAGCTGCCGACGATGAACCTCCACAAGCTATATAGATGACTTTCTCGTGGGTCAAAGCCTCAACTGGGATAGGAACTTTCTGGTTGTGAAGAGAAGAATTACCTAGTTGACCATGGCCTCCATGACCCCATGAAAGCACTTCTCCCTTGTCTGAGAGTAAAGGATACTTTCTAACATAAGTAGTTCAGATACAAATATGCATGTGAGATATACTAGTTTCATTGTATGTTACCAGTCAAAGCTAGAGAATGATATCCCCCACTAGCTATCTGAATAATACGAACACCTTTAAGGCTTGAAACTGGTTGTGGTTTCCAACCACCTAATTTGTCACCTCTTCCGAGCTCATAGTTCGAGTTGGCTGAGAAAAGAAATCACCAGAAATGTTATTGCTGTTATTCAGAGAAGAGAGATTACATAATAGGCAATAAAATGTTCAAAATATACCCAAAAAGTAGAGAAACAAGATCAACACTAGAATCTTCAGTCGTATTCCAGACAAAGTCAAACTCTAATCATAGATCTCACAGTACAAGACTTGATACATCATCAAGTTTGTTTCTAGGTCTGGTTCATTATTATGGATGTGATTTTTGGGGCATTGAACTTGTTGGAGTTAAGAGCAACAGATACGAATGTAATAACTCTTATTTGGTACAAAGAATGTCTTCTACTTTTCAAGTGATTGTTGAAAAGGGTAGCTTGTATATTTGTTCCCTATTTCAGGCGTGACGAGCATTTGAAGTTATTAATGGAGCACATATAGTAAGCAAAATGTAATACTCCTCCGTTTCAATTTATGTAAACATATTTGACTTGGCACGCAGTTTAAGAAAAAAGAGAATACTTTTGAACTTGTGGTGTAAAATGAGGCACATATATTTTGTGTGGCCGTAAATCATTGCATAAAAGTAAACTATTTCCAAATATGGAAATGTTTTTTTTTTTGGCACGGACTAAAAAGGAAATAGGTTCACATAAATGAAATAGGTGGAGTATAAGATAAAAGAAGTTACCTCTTTATCAACAAATGGTAAAGGGTCATTTTTTTGGCACGGACTAAAAAGGAAATAGGTTCACATTAAAGTGCAAATTTCCTTAGTTAATGGGTATGCCTATGCTTTCCTAAGTCTCTTCGCTTACCATTTTGATTGAACATATAGTAGCTAAAAAGTACAAACACAATATATAGCGGTAATATAAGAGAAGTTTTTTGCTATCTAATATGATTGGAACACATGCAAGGCATTTGGATTAAGACTAATATATCACTTAATTTTCAATAAAGAAATCAAGACAACACCAAAGCCATATTTTGCCTTCACAGTGAAGTCATCTTTACGCTCCAGTACTCGAGTATGATAAAAGAAAGACAGCACGCAACCTTCCTTTTTATCTTTTTGATAAAGATCAAAGATAAATAATGGTGTAGCCCGATCTCAAGTTCGAAACCCACTGGGTGCAAACAATTTCTGAGGGCCATCGGACTGGGTAAAACCTGAATTAACCGTGGTGCACTTGCGGGAAACTCCTTGCCGAGGGCCTGTGCACCCCCGGGAATAGTCGGGGCTCAAAGAGACTCGGACACCCGGTGCAAATTAAAAAAAAAAGAAACAAAACTGAAATCTTTCCATCAAAACAAGGTGATCCCTGAACCACCAGCTGAGAATTCAAGTCNGGTGCAAATCAAAAATAAATAAATAATGGTGTAGCCCGGAAAACACTTTCAATAAATTGACCTCCCTCAAAAGCATTATAACAGAACATTCTCAAAAATGCGATAGTATCTTACCTCCCCAATTCCAAAGCTCTCCCTCTTCAGAAAGTGCCATTGTGAAAAACCCACCACATGAAACAGCAACTGCGCTCACAGGAAGTGCTTTTACCTTTGAAGGGATGCTAAGACCACCTGCTTCATTTGGGCCTCGACCTGGACCAAGGCCTAATCGACCATCCCCTTCATCTCGGCCCCAAGTATAAAGCTCACCTAATGATAACAGCTAAAAATTTAAACTCTGAGTTAAAGGAAAAGAATAAACACTAAGTTCTACATCACATCTAAATTTAATAGAGTAAAAGAAAAGGCAATAATTAGAACGGTAAGTACCTTACAACCGAATTTCATGTTGGGAAGCGAATATCTAGGTTATCAGAAAGAAATTTATTTCTCTATTATGGATGAATGATAAATATTCCAATTTCCTACCACCACATTTCTGGGCACATTTTCCTTCTGAAGAATTGTTTGCAATTAGGAACTTTTTTAACTAGCATCTGAATGACTAGATTTATGGAGTAAAGTGGAGTTCAAAATGAAAGAAGTGACTTTATTGCCAAATCAGTAATCCAATTATAACTACTTATGATGAATCGGCTGATAGAAGTAAAAAAACTAAATCAAACAATCCAAAAAACATAACTATAAGAAAGGCAGATAGCCCACTTTCTCTCTACACGGTGAAATGTGAAGCCTGAAAATGTTTGAAATTTCCTACCTGACTTTGTTATAGCAGCTGTATGTGTCCCACTGGTTGCAACGTGGCATATTTCTGTATCCCAAGAGCCCTCAACTAATTTAGGAACCAGCTCTCTATGATAAACTGTATGACCAAGAGCACCAAAACCACCGTAACCCCTGAAAACTTCATTTTTCCATAAAAGAATCAAGTTATAATGAACAAAACTACTGAATCTGGTTTTATCAGTTAATTCAAAATCTTCACCATCAACTATTAAATTTCATTTCTCTAATTCTCTTTCCACTTAAAGGAATTAGAATTGTCTATGGCAAACTCTTCAATGGAAAAATGCATGACTCTGTCGTTGATTTGTATTTTTTATGCAGCTATTCTATCTGTTCCTTCATCTTAAGTTTACCATAACAATAATAGGCAACAGCTGTCATAACAAAGATAATATATACCGGACAGGAACATTTTCGTTCAGCAAACAGATTATCTCAAACTTCAGTACTTCCACATTTATTCATACTTACCTCGCAAAACTAAGTGAAACCACACTACAAAGAGATTACTATACAACTACACAAGGAAAATCTTATTGCCTTACCAGCTTACGAAAAACTATAATACACAATCGAATGCTGATCAAGAAAGTTTACATTTTTGCTTGTGCAGCCATTGTATGTGCTTATTCATCTTATAAACTCAGAGTTCTAATAACAAGCAACTGTTCTCCACATTTTTTTCAGTTAAGAGACTAGAAATAGATTTTTCGGTTAAGCATCAAAATTCTACCTTTCTCCACATTCATTTATAGTTATCAAGCAAAACTAAGTAAAGGCACTACTATTTAGAAGCAAAAAAAATTGTTTCAACCTTTAATACGCGGCGTTTACACCAAACTACTGTATTTCACAATGGTTAAGTAATAAATGAGGTGAAAATGCACATTAGTTAACCATAGTTGGAATTGGTACTGACCAAGTGAAGACCTGGCCAAGAGAGTTAAGAGCAACAGAATGAAGCCCACCAAGAGCAACACTTTTCACCGACTCTAAATTAGTATTCAAAGTAGGAACAAAAACAGGATTCTCATGACCAAACCCAAGACGACCTCCATCACCTTTACCCCAAATCCATAAATTCCCATCAACTAATAAAGCTGAATGAAAAAGCCCACACGAAATTCCTATTTCCACGTCAGCATTTCCCAAATTATTAGATGAAGGAAGACGACCAGGAATAGGAGAAGATAAACGAAAAGTGGGAGGCAGTGAAAATGAGGCAACGGGAGAAGGGTAAATTCGTATTTCTTCAATACCGCCACCTAATTGGCCGGAAGCACCACGGCCCCAGGAATATAATTGGACGGTGGTGATTGATTCGGAAGAATCAGTGATTTCAGATTTCCAAAGAAGAGGAACTTTGGACGAAGTAGAAAAATAAGAAGAAGAAAGGTGACGGCGCCGGAGCAAAGTGAGAAGAGAACGCCGACGAGTGTGGTAATAGAATGATAGCATCTTCTTCTGGCTCGTCGGCGGGTACTGTGGTTGCTCTCAGTTGCTCTAGTTTACGAGTGTTTTACATTTTGCGGACAGAGAGCGTTTTCACCCCTACTCTTTCTACATGTTTGATACTTTGCACCCTTAACTTTAATTTATTGCACCAAATTTATTAAATTTTTTTTTTTTTTTACTACGATCAAGTCATTCAACTAAAATTCACTAAACTACTTCTTGTAACCACAAAGTTACTCTTTGTCTATTTGTCATGAAAGGTCACTAGAAAAAAATAGTGATTTCATGAAATTAACTCTTTTGCACTCGCACTTGAAGTTCATCAAAATTTCTCGCTTTATATCTAATCCCGTATTTTTACAAAAAAATTTATTTTACAACAGACACAACATGTGAAAAAAATTAAAAAATAGATGATTTATCAAATTCACCAAAACTTATTTTGCTTAATTATAACAATGAGTAACATTAAAAAGACGATTAAAAAAAAAGGGTACTCACTGAACATCTAGAATTTTTTTTTAGTCTTTTCATTAGCATTTTGGAGGTTGTGTAGTGGTCTAAATCGATTAAAAGCATAATTTTTCTATTAATCAACATTACTTTTAACTTGGACCTTCAACTACATAACTTATGGCGATTAAGATCAAGAAAAAAAAATTGGGTTGAGAGAGAATATTTATGAAAGTAAAGTTGTATGTATTGCAGATTAAGGTTAAATTCTAGGCAAAAAATCCAATCTGAAGGTCTCTTTACTTGTAATTATGAGACATTGAGAGAGAAGAAAAACTAATGAAATAACTAAAACTTCGATAAATACTATAAACTAAAAGGAGGCTGAATTTGCACGGTAATCTATGGAGTATAGTAACAATTGTGAGTTGGGTAGAAAAAAGCATTGGAGATGAGTGATCTAATGCATGTAATGTGAGATTTTTTTAAATGACGTGTTAAAGATTAATGAGAGTATATCTTAACGTTATTTGTTGCGAATATTATATTCACGTACGTGAGGGCAAAAAAAACTCACAAGATTTAATAGAAACAAAACTAAAAGTTAGAGGGTCGGCTTTACAAAACGGTACAAGTTGAGGTGCTATTTTGTGTATTAAACTTTTCTTTTTCCTTTAGTCTTAAATTGTCGGAAATTGTCTCAGAATAATACATGGATAAACCCAAACAAAATATAAGCCCTCTTTCTATAATAACCACCAGAAAATCAGTCTCATTCTTCTCGTTGTAGTGTGTTATGTGTATGAAATTGAAATTGGATGCAGCATCCAGAAACAACACTAATTACATCAAAAATCCTTTAAACCAGCTGGATTTCTTGACCCATTTCTAGTTTCATTTGCTCTGTCCATCATTTGACTAATCATTTCTTCGGAAATTATGAGCTCTTAGCCAATGACCTCATTAATGTAAGAAAATCTCCATTTCATCACTTTGTATTTGTTTTTCAGCTCTGACTTTTCCCTTAGTATTGGTCTTTATTTTATTTTTATTTTAAAGGATAGTCTTGCGAATATTATTAAAACGGGTTTACACTTATTGGGTCAAAGAAAGAAAGAGATATCTGAAATTCATTTGATTGATGGATTATCATAGGGGTGGCAAACGGCGGGTTGGGTCGGATATGGGACTGGTCAAAAGCCGACCCGACTCATATTTAAAACAGATAAAAAACGGGTTAACCGGCGGATAATATGGGTAACTATATTATCCATAACTTCTCGAATATGATTACTTTTCGGACAATTTCTAGTCTCTCAAATTGAGGAGCCCCCAATTTGAGGCTTTGCAAATGTGGAAGTTAAACACATTAGTTATCCATTGGTTATCCATTTTCTAAATGGATAATATGGTTCTTATCCATATTTGGCCCGATTTTAAAAAAGTTTATTATCCAACCCATATTTTGGTGGATGATATGGGTGGTTACATGTTTTCTTTTAATTATTTTGCCACCACTAGATTATCATTTATGTTGTGGGTTTTTATGTTATGGTGTTTTCTTGGTGCTTGATAATGAAAATTGAGTGCTTCATTATCTGACTTTAAGTTTTAGATTCCCTCTTATAAGGAAAGTGTGGTGTTGTTTATAGCTCTTTAATTACATTGAGGTACATTAACTGAGATTTGCTTCAAATTTATGTTTTTGTCGAACAGTAGAAGCTATTGGAATAATTACAGGTAAATCGTTTGAGGAGCATTAATTGAGAATCTGATAAAAATGGTAACTAACATGCTTTAGAGGTGAGATTCACTGATTGTATAAAAAAAAATTGACACTGTCCGTGTCCGTAACATAAATCCATGTAGTTTAATTGGTCACGTGAACAGTGAATACAGATACATATCAGGGGCGGAGCTAGAAGCTCTATAACATGTTCGGTCAAACCCAATGACTTTTGCTCAAACAGTGTATTTGTGTTAATAAATTAAATATTAAATTTAGAACTCAGTTATTACCCCTTGAAATCATCGTGCTAAATTCCAGAACCCATAAAGTTGAAATATTGGCTCCGCCTCTGAATTACAGAGTGATTGGTGATAAATTAGTACAAAATGGGCTGCAGAATGTGGCTCTTCTGTCGAGATGCAGTCCAATGTGGCCTCTAATATGGAGGAAATCTACCTGGATGCTTACTAAAAACTTGGAAACAGTTCAGTTCTTTTTCTGTCAAGAGTCTTCTTCCAGTAGTTTTTCTTAAATTGGAAATATGATTTTTTGTTTTTGAGAATGAATAAAGTTATTGATGGATCTTTAACTGGTAGTAAGCTTAATCTGATTTATCTAATGTATTGTCATGGGAAGCTTGGATAGTTAACCCAAGTTTTCTCATGTTTCATGAGTCACAGATTTTCAGTAAGTTTGCTGTAAATCTTCTATATTTCAAGTCTAATGAAATACTTCATCAAAAGTCTAATGAAATTCAATGATTGTATATTTCAAAAATCAACAGTTGCTTCTTCGAGATAGATTGTTGGCATGAGGTAGCTCAAATCATGGAGCTCGTTTTTGCTATAACCCATCTATTCATATCTGTTCTTTTTGGTGTGTGTTTTCATCGCTTTTTGTTTTTTCCTTCCTTTATTTCAATTAAGAAAAATTTCCCTGCCTGTAGTACTTTGGATTGTAGTACTTTATTGCCACCCTTTTTCCTCTATTGTGCCCCTCGTTACAACTTCTCTAAGCCCAAAACTGACTCTTTCAACTTGTAGACTTTCTTGTGCAAGTCATCTTAAATGCTAAGGAAGTCTTTAGTCATATGTGCTCAAAAGCACTGTACATCTCATGCTCCAATGTTGTGTTTCAAATCCTGACCTCTGCATGCTATTTCTTTCATCTCTATTTCATACTCTGATTCATTTCTGAGGTAATTTTTCTGTAGGGAGACAACTCATCAACCGATAATACCTGGATTACCAGATGATTTGGCATTGAGATGTCTGGCGATGATATCACATGGATATCATGGTATTCTCGAAACTGTATGTAGAGGATGGAGGAAGCTGTGCCACAGTGCAGAATATTCCAATTACAAAGCTAGAGAAGGATGGTGCGGAAACTGGTTGTTTGTTCTGACCGAAGGATCTGAGAATCAGTGGATTGCTTATGATCCTGAAGCTGATAGGTGGCACCCTCTGCCCAGGGTAACCACAAGCCACCCTGACCAGAAGCACCTTGGTTTCTCATGTGCTTGTGTCTCAAATAAGTTTCTTCTGATTGGCGGCTCATATGAACCAAGCGATCAAGTGTTTTCCCGTCAAAAAGCCCTGACAACAAATGAAGTTTTCCAGTTTGATCCTTTCAGAAAAGAGTGGAGAAGAGTCGCAAGTATGAAAACACCACGTTCTCACTTCGCCTGCAGTGTTGTCTCCGGTAAGGTTTATGTAGCTGGAGGGCGTGACACATCATCGAGAGGAGGGCTTGCTTTTGTTGAAGTTTATAATCCTCTGACAGACAAGTATGTATTAGAAACTTTGGTATATTTGATTTGCTTTTGCTTCAATATTTATTTAACTAGATCAAGCATTCCCTTACATATTTTAAGTGTATAAGGAAATATGGCTTTTTGAATACTGAACTAAGCTTAGATAAGGGTAAAACCTGGACCATTGAAGTTGCAAAGTATCCGTGAAATTGACAATATTTAAATAGTTTATCATGCTACTATTTGGTCCACAAGTTACCCAATTGTTGTCGAGATTGTCAAATTGTTTTAGGGGCTGGGTATAACTAATATAGAGGAAGAAATTGAAAGTATGCAGAAAATGATTTGTAAACCAGACTGTATTTAACTTCTTTACTTCTTTCTGTATTTCTTGCTAACTTAGTTTTTTGTTTCAACTTCCGTTTCGCCATATTTTTTATTTTCACTTTGATCAAGTACCGCTCACTCTTCTGTTGAAGTTAATATTTTTTTATCCTTTGCAGGTCACTTGTTTTCTGGTTACAATTCTCTGCACATAACACCTTAATTTGAACTAGCAGCTTATCAGCTAGAGGCTGACTATTTATAGTCTCAGTGAAAAAAAGTTAACCAGTGGAAGTATTCATGCGAATTCATGTCTTTTTAAAAAAATATATATGATCGGTCATAAGATACTAACTAAAAAACCCATGTACGACCATACGTTTTCTTACTGCTGTGCGGAAGAAGGTATTGAAGTGAACCTTAAATATCAGATATTTTATGCAGTATATCTATAGTAATTGTAGGAAAAGAAGAAGAAAAGGAGATTTTGGGAACGTTCAGCTTGTTGGGTTTAACTGATGTGTACATATGTCATGAAATAGGAAATAATACATAATTATTGGATGAGAGTAAGGAGGACATGAAGGAGGCAATTATGGGTGCTATGAAAATTTGTTTTCAATGGGAATGAGTTGGAGACTTAAGTTAGAGGGTTAGACTTTAACCAAATAGGTGAAGGTAGGCGGGATTCGTTGGAGAGGGCCATCGGAGAAGAGGAAGCGAACACCCCTGACTTGATGGTTTCACTTTCACCTTGGCATTCTTCCAACAATGATAAGAGTACGATCAAGGAAGAGTTGACAGAGACCGTGTTGTATTATGTGCATCTTTTATTGCTATTACGCGAAAGAAAGAGGGATTAGCGAACGCTAAGGGTTACAAGCCTATTAGTGATTAGTCTAGTGAAAACATTATAAGATATATTTTGAAGTTGCTTTCTCATAAAGGAAGGTATTTGATGGAACAACCTTATCCTTATTCACGCTGATTTTAGTTCCTATTTTTATCTATCCCAGGCCTATGTTGTCGATGTCTCTAGTCATTTTCCCTGTCTGCATAGTCTCTTCCCTATGTTCCAACCTATCTGAATTCAAACCTCTTGGACTAGCTTCTTTACCATCATCACCGTTATGATGAAAGAGCCTTTTTATATCTTAATACCACATTGGGGTGCTTATGTGGTCGTAACTTTCCTTTTTCATTTACGGAAATTTAGTTTTGCCGCTTTTGTGGTCTTAGTTTTTATATGGTAGAATTTTTTTATTTATTTCCTTTCCAGCTACATTAATTAAGCTTCGAGAAGCATATACTTTATTAGAAAAAAGCTTTCAAGATGCATATACGAGAGAGAACACTTTTTTGAAATAAAAAACACGTCCCAGTTTAAAAGAAAATAAGGAGAAAAAATTAATGGAAGTATAAGGGTGATACGTGAACAGGAACACTAAAAGCGCCAAAATGCTAGATCAGGGGAACTCTTTTAAGTAGTATAGATCAAGGTAATATATATCAATTTTTGAAGCTTTGACTACATTTGCCATAGGGGTCATAGTTTTTAGAAACTTATGTGGTCCCGTTAATTTATCATAGAAAATGTTCCATTCTGTTACTAACTTTTAATCCTTCTATTTTTGGGAAGCAAAAGAATGGGCTAATATCTCATTTGACAATATCCTAAAATAGCAGTTAAATTATGTTTTATGCAGTACTCTTTTTCTTAACTTTTTAGATTTTGCAGGTGGGAAGACCTACCACCCTTGCCAAGTCCCCAGATGGATTGCATAGGGCTATCGTTCGAGGGTAAATTTTATGTTCTGACGGACCTTGTTGGGCTACTAGAGCAGGAGACATCTGTAGTTTTTTATCCATCCGATGAAACATGGGTGAGTGTTGATGATATTTGGCCATTTTCGAGGGCTATGCATTTGGGAATTCAGGTGCTTGATGGTGGTCATATATGCACAATTGTTGATTGGGGCGGGAGCTCTGTCAAAACTAGGGAAGTGGAAGACGGAGAGTGGCATCATAGGGGTTTGGTACCTCCCGTGATTCTACCTGACCATCCACGGCCTCTAGAGGTCTTTGATTATGGATTTGCTGCGCTGAGAAATGAAATTTATGTTTTGGGAGGAAGAGTGCTGCGATGGGAAGAAACTGGGACCGGGAAGTTTAACATTGTGAAGTTGAGCACAGTTAGAGTGTGCAATCCACTGAGTTTACCTTTAAGGTGGAGGGAGACCAGACCCATGTCTAAGCCTGCATCGGGCTCCATACTAGGTTGTGCATCCATGGAAACAAGATCTATGTGATTTAAGGTTCTGTTGTGTATGTTCTTATGATGTTTCATTTAATTATGCTGTGACAAAGGCAACACCTTGCAGCCTCGCTTTTATGATCGATTAAAAAGGTATGTCAGTGTTCCAACGCACATGAACATTCTTGCAAATTAATTCTGAAAAAACTGCTGGCCTTCAGCCAAATTCTGGAAACAATAGACAGGAGCGACAGAGATCCAGGAAAATTGCATGGAGGTCTTTGATTATGTTGTATTTTATGGTATGACAAAAATGTTTATTGTGTTTAAAGTTCCGTGGAAATGGCTCTTTCCCCTCTTTCTGGACAGACATGTACTCTCTCAAATTCCATATACTGGGTTTCTTCTGCTGTTCTGAGTTACATCCACTGGTTTTCTTTAGCTGTACATACATTCCATTGGCTTTAAAACTCATCAACCTCAACATGCATATTGCTTTCACACATTTGAGATACTCTTACTTAAATTTGGGTGCTTCAGTTCTAAAATTTGAATCAAACTCTAATTTCTCCTGGGCGAATAGGCCGAGTAGATGAGGCAGCAGTTCTGCCTGTTGTTTGTCAGGAAGATGAGAACATGCACGATGCAATGGCCAGAGCAACTAAGGTTGCAACCATTGATGGAAACTCTGCACTACTCGTTGATGTCTCCAACTGAATACCTTTCCACAAAAGTGAAAGCATATTGTACACCACGTGAGATTAATTTGCGTGGAAGAATGATGATAGGAAGAATCGCTAAAGGTCCTTGTACTGCACCCACAAAAGCAAAAGCGAAGGCAAACATAAGACTTTGAAATTCCACCTTCCAAAACTATGGAAAAGAGTTACAGCTCCAGAAAATAGTTTACATGTGCCATATTGTTTACTAATCCAGTAGAGTACCTCAGATTCAAGAATCAAAAACGTCAGCTAATCCAACTAGAATTTCTTTTTATGATTAAGTCCAGACACTCTAGGCTCCTTTTTTTCAGTTTCAGCAATACAGGTAGATCATGGAATGAGCATTAACACGCGCGAATGCATGCTCTTTGCTAAAACCAGGCCTGGCCATCCAACACCTTACACTCTGTTTGGATCATTGTTCCCCATTGTTTTATAATGTATTGTATTGTATCGTTTTATAAATACAATGTTTGAATAGATTGTATTGTTTGTTATTGTTAAATAATATTTTATTGTTTAGTTTGATTGTATCGTACTGTATTGTAATTGATAAGTTTACTAAAATGCCCTCAATTATTTAAATATTAAATTTATCAAAAATTATGCATAAAAATAATTTTAAAAAACAAAACAGAAGAAGGCAAAACACCTTCAGAAAGCAGAACAAAGGAGCGAGACAGAACAAAGGAGCGAGACAGAAGAAGCACGACTAATTAGAATTGAGTTAAAAGCCAATTAGGAGAAAAAATAAAACAGAAGACGGCAAAACACCTTAAACGTTGGCGGTAGAAGTTCTAGAAACAAACAAAGTAGGGTATAGGTTGGAGATTTGGAGTTAAAATAGAAATGTAAAAAAGGTAAAGGGTAAAATAGAAATGTGGAGTAATAAGTTAGGGCATAATTGGAAAGAAAAATAGGAAACAATCCCACCAAACCAAATCGGTTGTTGCAAAAAAGTTGACTTTTCATTATTCCTGAACAATAGATTTAACAATACAATACAACCAATTCAATACAATACGATACGACAGGAACAACCATCCAAACAAGCTGTTAGGGTTCTTCTTAATGAATTTCCCATACACCTCTTTATTCTGGTTAACTAAGACAAGTAAAGATCTGGTATCTACTTGAGCTTCACACACCTAGTCTTTCACCAGAATACTTTGATAAAATATTGAGTAACCCCATGAGAGTTTAGGAGCAGACAAGTAGTGGTATACCCTCCATGATACTGACCAAGCCACATAAATACTGGTATATCAACAATACACATCAGATAACGAATACTCAAAACAATAGCACCCTCCAAATTGGTTCTCTCGAAGGGCGAAGACAATTCATCCACAGCTTTACAAGGATGCAACAACAACTAGAGTTACGTTTGACCGCACAGAGCAAAGTAGCTAAAAGAAATTTAATAAGAGACAGAGTGCCAAGAGACTAGATGATGCTCACAACCATTGAACATACAAAAAGATGAATGCAAGGCCTTTCAGGTTTTGTCATTCATGAATAGTACAACTAAGAAACAATGACCAAGACAAAGAGAACATCACCCTGAACAAAATTGAAACTATTACTAAAACACATTAGATCTTTCTCATGGGAAAGACATCGATACATGTGTTGAAGTGCTATCAATAATTACTAAATTAATGAAAACTTGCTTCTCATCGACTACAGAAAGCCATCTTGTGCAGGTCCACGGCACAGCTTTGAGAACTAGACATGAGCAGTGCCTTCAGTGAACTTGGGATCCTCACATCTGTACCTTCCATCGGGCCCAATTCCGAAGCCCTTGGGATCAGCAAATACATTCTCTAGCAGCTGGCTACGAGCTGGAACAGGGCTTGCATCTGCAAACTCTACTGACTCTTCAACCACCTCATCAATCTTCTTATCTATGGCCTTTAACTCCGCTTCGCTGACAAGGTTGTTCTCAAACATATACTTCTTCAATGCAGTAATAGGATCTCTCGTGGCATAGTGATTCTTTTCAGCTGCCAATATTAACAAATTAAGGTCAAAGAAAGGAAGTAATTGTCTCTCCATCAGAGAAGATATCTAGTGGTGCCCCTGAGATGCATGTTATATGCTTGAGTGTAAAGGGAAGCTAGAAATAATCAAATAGGAAGTGCTCTTCATTCCACATTTTCTCAGCTCACACATAAATCACTATTTAAAAAATTTCCGCACAACCAGCCAATTTGAAACTTCTTGTACAAAATGTTGATATCCTTTTCTTTTAGAAGGAAAATGCTGATATCCTTTTGTTCGCCATATCATAGTACAGACATATTACTAGAAGAGATGGCCGGCTAATGTGCTACGACATTGTATAGTTGCTGACAGAATTCACTAAACAAAAAACCCATAGGGTACTCAAAACACAACGAGTTTTCAGACAAGCTTTCTATTGTTAATTTTATAGAAATAGCTCTCTGTTAAGTACTAAAGCTTGAAACTTCAAAACCCAGAAAACATAGGCTATGATTATTGTCAGGTACCACAGATGCCAAAGCAGCAGTAATAAAGAAACAGTAATGAGTACATTGGGGATAATAATACAAGGAAACTGGAGAATTTAATATACTTGAGCAAATGAACAGAAGGGAAATGGAACACTCACCAGGGTCACGAAGCTCATCTGGATCAGCCAAAGAGTGACCTCTGAATCGGTAAGTCTCGCATTCGACCAAAGTGGGACCTTCACCTCTCCTAGCTCTTCCAATAGCCTCCTTTGCTACCTCCCTCACCTTTAACACATCCATGCCATCAACATGAACCCCGGGCATCCCAAAAGCAGGACCTTTCTTCCAAATTTCAGGATCAGAAGTAGACCTCAAGTGGGACATCCCAATTGCCCACAGATTGTTCTCAACAACAAAGATAATGGGCAATTTCCACAATGCGGCCATGTTCAAGCACTCGTAGAATTGGCCATTGTTGCAAGTTCCATCACCAAAGAAAGCTAGAGTGACATGATCACAATCAGCCTCCTTCAAGACCTCCCTTCTGTACTTGCTAGTGAATGCAGCACCTGTAGCCACCGGGATTCCCTCACCGATAAAAGCGAAACCACCAAGAACATTGTGCTCTTTGGAGAACATGTGCATGGATCCACCCTGGCCTCTACAACAGCCCGTGGTTTTTCCAAATAGCTCACTCATCACTTGACGAGCTGGGACACCTTTACTCAATGCATGGACATGGTCACGGTAAGTGCTAACTACAGAGTCTTCCTTCTTCAAGAGCTTAATGAAACCAGTTGAGACAGCTTCTTGGCCGTTGTACAAATGCACGAAACCAAACATTTTGCCCCTGTAATACATTTGGGCGCACATGTCCTCAAAAGCTCTTCCCAGCACCATGTCCTCGTACAGTACCAACCCTTCCTCTTTAGTAATCAACTAAAATGCAACAGCAGACACAAATAATTGCGTAAGAATCACAAATAGCCCGAATCTTTTCAAACAGCTGCAATGCTACATGAGAAATTCAGAGAATAGTAAGCACTAGATCAACTACTATTACTCCTCAATCGGTCAATACCAAACAAGTTGGGGTCGGCTATAAGAATCCTTAATTCCTTACTAACCATGTTACTCCGTTTTAACTCGTCTCATGCCAATATTATGAAATACAAATAAAAAGAATTAGAGTTCTCTGTATTTTCTTAATGTATATAGCTCTGAAAGGCTAAACCACTTCTAAGGACCTAAATCGCCATAATAAAAACACTTAGAATAACGAGTTACAACTGGGTCAAAAGTTGCATGACTCAAATGGAAACTGAGCTAGAAAATGCCATAATTATCAAAGATTGGGATAAAAATTAAGAAAATGCAAGACCCTTTAGCTCAATCAACTAAATGTAACAACACAAGTAAAATCACAAAAAGACAAAATCTTGCAAACAACTACAATGTCATACGAAAATTCAATGGAGAATGGAGAATAAGCACAAAATTAACACACAAAAAAGACTTCAAAATCCCAAAAGCACGAATCTTTAGCAAGCAACAGGAATGTTATATGAAAAATTTAAAGAAACAAGCAATAAATCGCCATAAAGACACCACTTATAAGATGGAGTTAATAAAGTAAACAAAGCGAGCATGACCCAAATGAAAGCAAATGCCAAAATTATCCAAAAAATGGGGATTCAATTAAGAAAATGCAGGTCCCTTTAGCCCAATCAACCAGACGGAAAACCAGACACAAATAACTGAGTAAAATCCCAAAAAAGCACGAATCTTTTGCATGACCCAAATTAAAACTGAGCTTGTAAAGCCAAAATCAATACAAAAAAAATCAAGAAAATGCAAAGTACCAGATTGGAGAGAGAGGATTTGGACTTAGACTTCTTTTCCTTAACAACATCAGAAACAGCAACAACCGCTGCATTGGATCGACGCTGGGAATTAGGAGGCAGAAAAGGCTTCTTGAGAGAAAGCATATGAGAGGATGATGATCCAAGAAAAGATGAGCTTTGGATCAAAAGGGGCTTTTCAGCAGATCTAGTAGAATTAACGGGCAAAGGTTGCAAAACTTTTGTTGCAGAAAAAGCCGTCGCCATGTTTTTGGAGACACAGATGAACGAATAACAGGAAAAATCAAAAAATGGAATTGCTGTGTCTAAGAAACAGATGAAATGTGTTGAATTATATAATCAATGGCTTAAGTGAAAAGTGCGGAGAAAACGAGAAATGAGAGAGG